TCTTCTTTTTGAACACCCTCTGGTGACAGTTTTTGTCTGCCACAAATGGTTCACGGGAAAAATACGTTAGTACCCAAGTAAATGCATTTATTAATAAATTATGTCAATTTTCAATAACGATTTTATTTTCCTGAGGTTGAACACTTCTTTCAACAAAAGGGAGATTCTGCAGCAGATAATAATCATTGTCTTAAATAATATAATAATTTATAAATCTATTGCTACATAAACGTTTGTTTGAAAATGCATTTATTTCCACTTTTAGCTACTGAAAATAATTCTTATTCTTTACCTGAAAAACTAATCAGAATCAGAAAAATTAATCCTCCTCCTTTAATTTGGATAAATGAGATTCTATGATATAATTAATAATAAACATTAGCTTAAAATAAAAAAGGGGAAATCTTCCTTCAGAAGTATTAATGCAACTAAGATTAAAAATAAAATTTCTTGTTAACTACACACACTCATTTGATTGCAGTCATGGGTTATTTGTACAATTACATATTTTAAGATATTCCTTATCGCAACCCTTCATTCATAATTTTATTCAAAATTGTCTAGAAATAATAAAAGAGTACGAGTTGCTAAAGAAATATGAATATCTGGAAAAGAGATATTGCATTAGATAAACTATTTTCAGAATATGGCACAGCATGCTAGGGCTATCTGCCTAAAACGATAGATGCCTTCATGGAGGATTTTCTAAGGAAAACTGACTTGTACTCTTATTACACATGAAGAAAGTCATGGAAAAGATTCATGCAGCTGGCCTATTTGCCAGGGATAAATCTCCCAATATTTGGTAGTCTTGGGATTTATTTCCCAATATTTGGCACTTGGCCATTGGTAGAAACTTCTATGGTAAGGTTATTACAGCACCAGAACTTCTCTCTAATATAACTTAAGGGAAACATTTTTATAGAATATACACTCACACACGTGAAAAACCATAAAACAGGTGATTATCGAGAAAACTCCAAAGAAATTTATTAAAGTTCAACACTTTATTTATCTGGAAAACAGTCATTTCCTTTATATTAAGATTTGCAAAGAAAGGCCATATTATCAAAGTATTAGTAAAGACCTTTAAAATGAAATGTATCTTCAAAATAAATTTTTGCTGTATTTAACAATTCAAAAACTTTTTTACTGCAAAAATCAATTACTTTCTTACAATTAAGTATTCTTTAGAAAAGTTAGATTTTTGTTATACTGCAATTAATTAAAAAATGTATGCTACAAATATACATTTTAACATGATATTGAAATAAGATATGTTTTTTTTTAGAAAAAGTAAAAATTTAAAACATTCAATGAATTACAAAATTTATATTTTACAAAAATCAGCTTTACCTCTTTCTTATAAAAAATTTATATTCTATTAACAAAGTGATGGAAAAATAGATGATGCCTTGAATAGTCAGATACACAAGATTTTTTCCTAAAAAGTCCCAAGAAAGGGGGTTTCGAAACATGGTTATTCCTACAATAAGGAAAACAAAAATCACAAATTACACAGAAGTTTTACCCAGAGAGGAAAATAAGCAAAAATTTAAGGAAATGCCTTATACAAAATATGAATTAAACAAACTCACCAAACTTTGCGAGGGTTTCGTAAGCAAGTTGATTGGTAAAAAGATCCATGAGACCTCTTCCCAGGCAATAATGTGGGAAAACTAAATAAACTTGCTTCAAAATCCCAGCAATATCTTGTAATTCCTAGCAAGGAGATGAAAGAAGTTATGATAAAATTTTACATTTAATAATAATAATAAGAAGAAGAAGAAGAAGAAGAAATGGATTTGAATTGAAAGAAATAAACATTTTATTCAGAGTAATCAAATTAACAAACTTTGATTTATAAGCAGCTTGGTGGAAAAAAAGACCCATACGACATCTTCAAAAGTAATGTGGCATATATGGAAATGTACCACATTGGCATGATCTTTCTTTCTGTTCCCCCCTTTTTTAATATTACTGTTTGCCTTTGCCCTGGGCAACAAAGTAGGTTTGGCAAAAAGGTCCATGAGATTTCTTCGAAGGCAATACTACCACCTAGCTTCATGATGGTAATCAACAGACATTTTCCATAGACTCAATACTAAAATACAGACAGTACTGACAACAATGTGGGATTGACAAAAAGATCCATGAGATGTCTTCCCAGACAATCCTATCTTCTACAATCATGTCCAAATTTACTTTTACATTATCAAAAATAATGATATTCCATGAAATAGCCTATCGATGTAATCTATTTTTGTACAGAATGTTTGAAAAATATAATTCTAATTAGCATTATCCAATCAAAGGTGATCAAATGGTTTTTGATATGAAAATGAAGGCATTAAGTTGCAAGAATGCATGTTTGCATTCTTGCAACATACAGCCATTAACATAATTTCCGACAAAATAACATAATTTCCGACAAATTGTTAGTTTTTAAGAAATAAAATTTTCCTGCAATTATTCAAAATTAATTGTTAATTAAATAATTATTTCAGAAAAATTTTAATTGCAGTGCTACAACTCTTAAATTACTCTAATTAAATAACATAATTTCCGACAAATTGTTAGTTTTTAAGAAATAAAATTTTCCTGCAATTATTCAAAATTAATCGTTAATTAAATAATTATTTCAGAAAAATTTTAATTGCAGTGCTACAACTCTTAAATTACTCTAAAATGAAAATTAAATTGGGAAGGTGGAGATAATAAAACAATAAATTTACAATAATCAACTGAAAATAAATAATTTTCAATGCAAATTAAGATAATTTGACTTTTGAGGAAACGGGAGAGCTTAGTTTACATACTCCTGTTTCTGGTTTCTAATTACAAGGTTCAACTTTGTTTCTCTAATCTTCCTTGGGGGGGGGGAAAGAACTGAACAAGCCTAAATAGTATTAAATTAAACAAGAATAACTGAACATAACACAATACAATGAAATAACTAAAAGCATTAAGAAAATTAAATTTATCTCAGTCATTATTATTGTAGATAAAAATTTCTTATTGCAAAAATGTTTTTAAATGTTTCAAAGATTCCCTTTTGGCATTTTTAAAATTAAATAAATTAATTTTGTAAAATTATGAAATCTAATTTTTATGTTCTTTTATTCTCTGTACTTATATTTAAGAAAAATTTTGCGTTTGTTATAAAACATAAAGCAGAAAGTTTGACTCCCATACAACTCAAGTGAGACATTTGATATTATAATTGGAGATCATATTCAGAGGCCATACATGAACTGAAAAGTAAAAGAGTTGCATTTGTACACAATTAAAAATAAAATACCAGTTTAGAAGAAGGTTTCTGATGTTAAGAGATTAAGAGATCAACATAGATCTTATTCCCAGAATCTCATGAATTTGTTTTCTTGAAAACACTGACAGGCTTCAGTATTGGCATGCAGCCAACTTAATTTTTTTTTTAATTACCGTATTTGACGGCATATAAGACGCACTTTTTTTCCTAAATTTGGTCTCAAAAAAGTTACCTGCGTTTTATACGTGAAGGTAATTGCATTCAATAATTGTTTATTTGGCTTTTACGAAATGTGAGAACTAAAAGAAACCATGCTATTGAAACTTTTTTTCCTTGTGTGTGGCCGTCTAAATAAGGGTGTGTCTTATATGCCGTCAAATATGGTAATTAAAAATGAAAAATATGTATACAGTACAAAGTCTGTAATCTGGACGTCCATTATCCGGAATGACCTATGATCCGGACCTCAAAACCACAAACCTTTTTTTTGTATGCTTTACGCATGCACATTTAATGTATAACGGAGGATATAAGATAGACTAAAATTATCTTTACTGATTCTAAGGCATTTCAGTTAATGCTGCAGATTGCGCTGTTCCTTAATCTTCTCACTGGATTCGGCTTATTATTTTTTTGCAGACTGTTAGAGCAATTTTATAAAAATTAAGCTTGAACTTTCGATTATGTATGGAATAGATATGGAAATAGTATACGTGCTGAAATGCAAATATAAAGTAGCATTTTAAAAATCTATATTATTAAATTTCTTGAACAATGGCAAGACTATTCACGACTTTTTGAAATTTTTTAGCATAAAATCTGCTGTGTGGAGCATCGCAAGATTGTGGGAGGATGTGTCTCCAGATACGTTTAAAAATGCTTGGCATAATTTATGGTCAGCTACCATATTCCATGGTGAGGATGATGAAGATGATAGCCGCGAATTTGAGGTTTTCGGACATCGCAAACTAAAGGTAAAATTTTCCAGTTACTGGATTTTGTAAAGAAATGTGGAGAAGCAGTAATAAATGAAGATGATATAACAGAAGTTTTTCATTGCGACGACAATGCCCCAATGATCAATCAATTAACGGACGGCGAAATCTGTAGTATGGTTCTAGATCCAGAAAACACTGCTTCCGATAGTGAGGAAACAGACAGAGAGGTTATTGAAAACGAAAAAATTTTGATTGACAAGTTAGTCGGTATTCTCGACACAGCAATTACAACATTGAACAGTGGAACTTTGTAACTGAACAAGAAATTATGTCTGTTTTTATATAATTAAAGAGAAAGTATTAGCATGAAAAACAAAATAAATATTAAGCTTTTTTTTTGTTTGTTTTGTAAAATTTGATACCCTTTAGATCATAATTGCTCTTTATTTCATAAATTATGGTTTCATATTTTTAATTGTATAATTTCTGCATGCCATCTTACCAGATTGATGATCTATAATCCAGAAAAAACCCTAATCCAGAATCGTCGAAGTCCCGATGAGTCCGGATTACGGACTTTGTACTGTATTTAATTGAAATTTTATATGATTACTAGATTATGATTCTAAAGCAATAAAATATCACGAAGCTATTAACAACATATTTCCGTACTTTGAAAACTTCTAAATTGACTTGTGTGAAAATTCTTTTGGCACTCCACTAGTAACAAAATTAAATTACATCAGTAAATGCGAAGAGAATATCAATGGATGGCATTTAAGGAGGGGGAATAAACCTAAAAAAATTTGAATAGATTTATTAACAGACCCCTCAATGCAAACTGAAAATAACATCAAAATTTGAAATTCAATTCAAGTCAATTTTGGTTGTAAAGTAGTCAAACAATTTTGTATTTCATTATTAATTACAAGTATAAAATTCTCTAAATACAATGCTGTGTGAACGAGACGGCTCCCGATCTAATGCAACCTCGAGGGTGTCAATCAGAATTAATACCGCCCCGCCCTTGGATCAATCTCCATGTAGCGACCCCACAGAGCAAAGGCAGACAAGGCAGTACCAGTACAGTCTCTGCCGAGCCTTACTCTGTCCTGAGAGCCCTCAGGCCTTCTGTGAAATCTGTTATTATGTCCCCATGGTTGAGACTGCCTAGGTACAGATCCTAACCGATAATTCCCAGGCATTCGCCTGAGTCAACCCGGGGGGGGGGGGGGGTCGATTCTCTAAATACAGTACAAAGTCCAAAATCCAGAATAATCTAAAATCCGGACCTCAACAACGTTTTTTTCGCAGGCTTTATGCATGCGCATTTAATTTCCCCCTCCGCGCATAATAGAATATCTGGAGGAGTCCCGATTCTTAATTTCATTTCGATACTAAATAAAATACCTCATTATTGAAGAAATAATCATTTTAGCATAAATTTGTACGATTAGTAATTTAGCTTCGTTGCTGCGTATCTGCTTTGGCACACATCTTAAACCGAAACATTCCACATAGATGCATCGTTGATCTGACGCCAACCTGGCAAATCATTATTTATTATACTTTCCTTTTATCACCACATGTTTATTAAAACATGACAACTTGAGTAATGACTCATGTAGTGTTGCCTAAACATTTTTTTCTGTTAGTAATTTGAGTAATAAATGAGTATGGTAACCTTTTATGTTGACATTACGCTTGGTGATGATTACAGATTTAAGTTAAATGCACTAAAAATGCTGACGAGGAAAATTCTTTCCTTATGCTAAAAATAGATTTTGTTGATGATACCTATAAACCCAAAGATTACATTTAGTATATGTGGGAATTTATCTATTGAGAACTATGATAAGACTTAAGCATGTGCAAGAAATAGACATAAGTATAATAATTAACTAATACAATTCAGGCTTAATTGTCTCAGTGTGCAAATCAAGTAAGATAAAATTTAACGGAACAACTTGTCGTTAGTCACCAAGCTCGTGATGCATAGCCAAATATGTACAGTGAAGGATAGCTAAATTTGATAATGATAGCCGCTAATTTTAAAGGTTTTCGGACATCGCAAAACAAAGGCGAAATTTTCCAATTAATAGATTTTGTAGTTGGGTCCTAGCAGAGCCCACACCCTCGATGCATACATGGACAAAGTCAAGGGAGCGTGCAATGCCAAGTTTGTGTAATTCTCTGATTTTTTTTAAGTGAAAATAGGTCGATGTGTACACGGATACCGAGCTTGTGCAATTCTTTGACTTGTTATTTTCAAGTTGGCTATTTTGAGAAACGTGCGAAGCAGTGGGTGATTCTGCACTTTCCCGGTTTGTCGTTAAGGGTGTGGGCTCTCCTAGGATTTTGTAAAGAAATGTGGAGATGCAGTAAGTAATAAATGAAGATGATATAAAACTAAGTTTTTCATTGTAATGACAATGCTTCTCAATCATAAATCATTAATGAATGGCGAAATCTGTAGTATGGTTCTAGATCCAGAAAACACTGCTACCAATAGT